CGAGAGAGCTGCAGGCTCTGATGGGAGTGGGAACAAAGAGCCACATGCCCATTCCCAGGAGCCAGGCAGGAACGGATTGAAAGCACAGGACAGAGCAGAGTAGGGAGATACTGTGTCTCTACAGCTGGGAAAGGCTCTTCTAATCATCTCCGGCTCCCTGCTGGATGGAGCTATGCATCCTCACAGCGCTCTACCACAATTATTTCCATTTTACAAAAGCTGATTTTTAGTAGGGTGCTTGTAACCTCCTCAAAGAAGATGCCAGTGAGGGCAGGCTGTCTTGGAGCTCGCAGACCACTCCCTATAGTGCCCTCCAAAGGCAGCTGGCTATCAATACCCTACTGGGCTTTCCCAACAAAAGACCTCCAGCCACATCTCCTGTGCATGTAAAGACCCTATGCAGCTGTGTGAGTAGCACAGCTGCGAGCCCCAGACAGTATCTGCCCTACAGGGCTCTTCCCCCACACCACATGAGAAAGGCCCTGCTGTTTGAAGAGCCACTGTGAATATGCAGCTGCTCCAAAACAGCTGTAGCCTCATCCTATCATGGGATCCTCCCAGCAACTGAAACCCAGCCGGGATAGCGTGTGTGATGCCCATCCCAGCCGCAGAAGCTGTGCCACCCTCCTACCTCAATGCAGAGGCAAGTTGGATCTCCCTTCTCTGTCACTGCACACTCCCGCCCAGCTCCGCAGAAAACATTGGCACAGATCTTGGATTTGCTCCTTGGCTCTTCCTGCAAGATACAAAGTAAAAGACACAAAATACATCAAGTTACCGGGAAGAGCAGCAACACAGGTTTTAAAAAACCAACACTGGACCGAAGAGCACCAAGGCAGTAAGGGACAGATCCCAGAACAAGAGGCATGACTGCAATAGTTGGACAGCTCAGACAATAACCAGGAGCAGACACAAAAGCTAGGGCTACAGCCCCAGCAATAGAGAGGCATTCCTTGAGGTCATTCCCGGAAAATCACCTAGGAGAACTGGAGCAAACATGAGCAAGAGAAAATCTAACACGAATGGCAAGAATAATTCACTTATGTCAAGGACTGACATCTTCAAAATTTTTTTTCATGGAGGGTAGGGAGCAGAAATGTCTTTGCTTGAGACATTTAAGAAGGTGAACATAATCCTGGAGAAAGGTGGGACACCAAACAGGCAAAAGAAATCACCATCAGACACCAGATAATGCCCCTGTCACAAAAAAACTTCACAAAACTACATGACCCATTATCTTGCCTTCACTGGTCAAGATTAAACACTTCAAAGGAAGAGACACTGTCATAGATAATTATACAGTAACCTTCTCAAAGAGAAAATTTCTTCCTGGTCCCTGACAGCCAGCAGTTGACTTATGCCCTGCAGCACAATTTATATGCTTTACAGTTTTCTCCTAGCCAAGTCATCACAAGTATTCTTGTTGTTCACATAACTGTTGAATCCTTTTTTTTTGAGTCCCACTGCATTCCCAATCTGGTGACACCTAGCAGGGAAGATTTCCACAGGTTAATCATGTTTTCAATAAAACCACAATTTACTTTTATCAGTTTAATGTCTTCTTTTCCTTAGACTTTTAAAAAAGAAGACTGTTCCAGGGGTTCAGACTTTGGAGACCCTGATTTAATTCCCTGCTTTGTTGTTAATTTCCTTTGTGACTCTCATTCCATCTAATATTTTCCACCTGGGAGTTAAGTATCTGGTTCAGGCTAGCCAACTGGCTTCCTCAACAGTTTTGTATCGGAGACAGAAGATTGAGGAATGCAAAATAATCAGTGGGATAGGTCAATCACATCAGCTGTGACTCTTCTCTCTAATACATGAAGGGTTTTTTTATCTTCTCATCTGAGTATTCTTAACCTCTGCTCATTTGTGGTATCTTTCTACCTCCATGATATACTTTTGAAAAGTAGGTGATCAAAAGGGAGCAGAATTTGCCTGAGGAGCAAGCATTATTGATACATTTAATAAAAAATGCTGAGCGCATTTTTTCTCCCATTACTTCTTTTTCCTAATTTGCATTTTTTGTTTTGTTTTTAAACCACAATTTCACAGTGGGTTGTTGTCTTTACTGAACAGCCCACAGGACAGCCAGCTCATTTTCTCAATGACTTTGCCCTGGTCTTCAGTGTGTTCTGCCTGCTGGGCTACTGCACAGTCATCAAGCCCAAGAAGGTCTTTTCAAAGGATTCCCTCCAGGTTTGCATAGCAACAAACACCTTTCCTGCTCTCTGCAAATGTTCCTATCTTGCTGCTTATTCTGTAAAATAAAAATATAATATTCAGACACACCAGTCTTAGCCCTGAAACACAGACTGTGTCCTGGGCCTGCTCAACCTATGAAGACAGTCTGCCCCTTGGTCCTCCTGTCGCACATGGTTTCTGAGCTATGAAAGACACTCTGCCCCTTCTGCTGCATCCACCTCTTCTTAGCTGTCTTCTGGTCGAGGGCTGGGGTAAATGATCTAGGTGCTTCTGGGATGGGATGGAGAAACATGAGCGCTTCACCGCACAAAGCAACTTCACACAACTTAGGGCAGGAAAGGAAGAATAACTCATTTTGCAAAAAGCACAAAGAAAATCCAAATTCTCCCAGGTTGTAGTCTGGCTAGGGCACTCCCACACCGAAAATGCACTGTAGGCACCTGAGAGCTGATCTGTTTAAAGGGTTTCAAACAACATTCACCGAGCCAAAGACCAGAAAAAAAAAGAGCTAGACGCAGCTTTGAACTGCCACCCACCAAGGTCTGTAATCCAGGTGACTGGCAATAGATGGCAGTACTCTGCCTCTCCTTACCCATGGCCAGGCACCACTGCCAGCAGCCAGCTCCTGCCTGCGCCCACAGATGCCAAACGTGGCTCTTGCCTCCCGGGCTGTGATGGCACCGCTACAACCGCAGCCGGCCCCAGCAGGCGTCCGCAGGGACTGAGCTCAGGTTGCAAGACTCCTCTCCCCTCGTCAGCTCGCTGGAAACCAGGCCCGCGACGTGGCTGTCCTGGCCACAGCTCCCTCCCCTCAAGCGCCTGAGCCCAGGAGCCCTCCCGCAGCTCTCCCACTGGGACCTGGGGTGGGGATGCTGCCAGGATGACACTGCCAGAACAGCCTCTGAGGACAAACTGCCCCCTGCCAGGCTAGAGAGCCATCTTATTCTGATTTTTCTTATTAATCAAAGCAAGACGGTTTGGTGGTTGCTTCTTTGTTGTTGTTTTAAGCTGTCTGAGGCTGGCAATGGGTCAGAGCTGGTTGCCACATCCTAGCACGGCTGTCTCCATCCCAGGGGTTTGCCACAGAACAAAAGGAATCAAGCTGCTCTGCCTGCCCTCCCACTCGAGCACAGGGTTTCTCATTCTCAGCTTGCTCATGTTCCCTTCCAGCAGCAGCAGCCATGGCAGGAGCTACCAGGCTAGGTGCTTGCTCCATCTTCAGTGAAAGCAGCTCTTAGCTTCCACTCCAGTTCCCTCAGCCCCTCTGTCCCCCATCCTTGCAACGCTCACCCCACAAACCATACTTTCTCCATCTACAACCTACAAACCACAGGCCCTTCTACTTGTATACCCCCCTCCCAAAATTCCCCAAACCCTCACCTCCTTCCTTCACCAGACATCACCTCTCCTACCCTACATCTACCCCATCCCACACCTGCAACCTGACCCAGCGCTGGCAGCTGCCACTGCAGATCCTGCCTTCACCTCCTGCAAGAGCCAGGAAACACTTTCCCCCGCCAGCCTGCCCACAGATGAAGTTAGTGGTTGCCACCGCTACCGCTTGGTATGGCCACACAGCTCTAAGGTGGTTCACGGTACACTGCCGGGTGGGAGCTCTCTGTAGTGGCTCCCGGCTGCCTTCCTGGCAAATGCCCGAGTCTCCTGTGAGTAACTGGGAGTGTAACGGAAACAGTGGTGGATGAATGGATGAGTACGGTGGGGGTCTGCAAATGGGGCTTTATAATCTTCACTCCTGATTCTCTGGCGACCTCCCAGATGCCACCAGCCAAAGTAGTTTCTAGTGACAGATATTCTGATCTTACCTTGGACCTTGTCATGTTTGCTCTTTCTAAAGCTCCATCTGCTGGAGTCATGTGAGTAAGCGGGGATGGCAGCTGCCACTTCAATATTAAACAGCTTGTCCTCGCACCTACCACGTAAAAGCTTGAAAATATGAACTGCAAAGGTTTAAATGCAAGGCCACACACAAAAAAGGCTCCACAGTGTTTCAATGTCATTGCCCTTAATTTAATTTCAGGATCTGGGGGCCGGAATCATAGTTTTTACACTGCTTCCTCCCTGTGAGCTGCCATTGCCTTTTCTGTGACCGTGGACTTGGGAAGTGTCACTCGTCCCTGTGCACAGCGTGCTCGGGCAGGCAGAAGGGAAAGGGCAGACAGTCGTTATTAATTGCTGCACAGTGGCATTTACACCGCCAGCCGTGACAAGTTTCTCTTTTCTGCCTTGGGTGAGATGCCTGAGCTCCCTCTGTTTGGGCAATGCTTTTAATTACTCCTCTGCTGCCCAGAGAGCAAGCGGGAAGGTGTAAAAGCAGCGAGCTCCAAGCCAGGGCAGGATTGCCTGGACTCTGGAGCGTCCACCAGGGCACAGGGGCACTCCTGGCTCTTCACCCCACAGTCTCCACAGGGGCGCAACCTCCCCAGACACCTTCTTGGGCAAAGACCATGGAAGAAAGCTGTTCGCCATGGCTCACGGGCCAGAAACTCAGGGCAGCATCAGCATCACGTACGCATAGCCCAGGCTGTCTGCTGAACGGGGATGGGAATGCATGCTGATTTCAGGGGGCTGGGAAGCGTAACCCCATGGACGAAGGGTCCTTGCGTGTGAACAGGCAAGCGCCAAGCAGAAGACCCGAACTGACAGTGCAGCGAGCCTGTTGCTCAGGCTGGTGCTCCCCAGGGAGAAAGGAGGAAAAAAGAGACATTTCCAAGGCACCCGAAGGCGAGAAAGCTGGTGGCAGCGCCAGCGGTGAGGGATCACCATGGCAACCGGCAATGCGGGGCCTCAAGGTGGAGAGCTAAAATTAGGCAGCAGCGGGAAGGGCTGTTTATCATCTCTAGCAGCAACCGGCACTGAGGAGTTGGACCCCCAACACTACGTAAGTGCAGATGTCGGGAGCATTTCCGAGCCCCTGCCTGTTGCCTGGATGTCTGGGACACAGCATGGCTCGACGTGCCAACACACAGTGCCACACACGGGTCTGCACAGGGTCCCATGGTCCTGCCAGCTGCCGTGCCGGCTCCGCGCTGGTGGGACTGCACGAAAACAGTGCAGTGTCTGCAGCAAGATATACGAGTGACCATACGCATGAAGGAAAAGAGGCATGGTGGCTCCTTGGCTTTGCAAGGGAGCTGCTCACCGCAGCTCTCTCTCGTCTGCTCCCTCCCCTGGCCCCCACTGAGCCACAACTGCCTGGTGTCACCTGGTGGGAATGGGGACTTTCCCAGCCGGCCTGTGAAAGCTGAAACCATTAACAGTTCAGCAACAAAACGCCTGTGGAAGAACAAGCTTCCACCTGCAGAGAAGAGCTGTGCAAGCAGCTGCACATCCATAGTGCCCCACCGCCCGAAGGGAGCAGCAGGGATCTCTGCCATTACGCATGCTCTGGGAAACCAGCAGGGAGACTACCCTGCTACAAGGTGGGGAGTTAACGTGCTTGAAAACAACCCCTCAGATCACTTTTTGCTTTCTGCACATTCTTCCATACGAAATCTCCTCTTGGAGACCTCAAAAGTCTTTTTCTCAGCAGCCCACACTGCACTGGAGAAATACTGCCTGCCATCCTGCTCCTACTGACACGAGTAAAAAGCTTTTCTGCTATCAGCAGCAACATTAGGCCTTTTTCCTCTTTTGGCATCAGTTTATGGAAATCCATAAAATGACGGGACCCCTCAAATAATGCTCTCTGCTGTTTGCTGTAAAACCAAGGCTTTGTGTTTTTTCCCTGCCTGATGTGCAAGGAAATCAGTGCTCTAGAGCAGCAGCACTGAAAGCTCCTTCGGGAAGCAATCCCATGTATTATACAAACTTGAGTACTACACAGACAAGGCAAAACTAAAGGGCACCAAAATGATGTCTGAAGTTGTAAAACTTGCTGTCCTGGTTTGAGGCTCAAACCACGACACTTGCACAGATTCTCATGCCTCAGGAAAGGCAGCAGCAAAAGCTGGGAGGAAGTTTTCATAAATAAACAGTACAGGGAGAAATGAGCTTTGCAGCTATGTATTTCAGCCAGTCCTCCCTACATCTTCTCATCCACATTCCTTTTGCCTGTTCCCTGCCATGACTGACACAGGAATAAGGAGTCTGCGAACACACCGAGGTGCCACATGTAAACAGCACAATTTCTAAACCAACTCAACACCCAGCCACAAAACCTAGCGCTTCGTTCAGCTGTTGTCTTGGCAATGTTTTCTTCTCAAAGCAGAAAGATTTGGAGACACAAGGGATTAGGTCAACAACGCAGAAAGCTGAGATGAGAAGCTATGTCTCCTGACTCCCAAACCTCTCTCCTCTTCTGATGTGGGGCTGGGAGAGAGAAGTGCTGCATTGTGCTGCGTTATCCAAAAAGAGAGGGCTGGGCAGCAGAGCAGCTCAGGGGGGTCAGGAAAACTTAGCAACTCCTGCACAGTGATGGCAGGAGAAAGCATTTGGCTTGTGCACTTCATCCCATTACCCAAGTGCACCTCCAGGCAAAACAGGTCTTTTGGCAGCGTGCCCTCCTGCAGAGGTCCGGGGAGAGTGGATCCCACGTTTGCTGGAGGGCACGCACAGGCAGGCAGCCTGTCACCTCCGGCCATTTGTGCCGCTGGCTCTGGCAGCACCGTTCCTCCTGTTGTTCCGGTTTGTGACCAACAAGCAAAGCGCCCGTCCCTCCGTGCAAACCTGACCTAATTCCTGCGGCAGCTCCCTGGATCCTCTAACACTCTGGTGTGACGGGGCGGAAATTTGGCAGCAGCATAAACTGAGCAGACTAGCGTGAAACAAGCAGGCATCCCCGATGTTGGGTTTGCCATAAATAGATAGGTGAGGCGAACACTGCAATTTCTCTTCCTTAGGGCTACTGCCTCAGGACACCTGCAGACTCTGGAAGAAACCCCACATAGATTACCTTTAAGTCCAACTTGGAAGGTTTGATTTTCAGTTGTCAAAGATAAGATGGAGATAAGCCCAGTCTGTATGGATTGAACTATGTCTGATTTCTGGTTCGTCTCTCTGATAAAACCTGTCTCCCAGGACATCATCACTATTAGGATGGCACAGTGGGCTGTGGAGTGATCCATATCATCTACGCTGGAAGAAAAACCATCAGAGGTTGCTGAACCCACTGGTGCAGGGTCACATCAAGACCCAGCTGCACCCTTCCTCAGGTCTGGTGTTATCCAGTCCCAAAGTGGCACCCCCTGGAGCCAAACTCCCCCTCCCCAGGAGGGTCCCCTCCCCTTGCCTCTGGGAGGCACATGGCACACGTCCTGCCGCTCAGACCAGCAAAGGTCTTGATGGGCTGTTCAGAAGGCTCAAAAACAGGCTGTCCCTAAGCTAGTTAGTTAAAAAGGAAGAGAAAAGATGTTGTGAGGCAAAGTCTGGACCAGCACTCAATTCCCCAGGGCACTGCGACCAGACACATTTGACAATGTTTCCAGTCCTAACAATATCCTATTTGAAGGGTATCAGCATGAGGTCTGCGCTGGATGCAAAGGGGGTCCAGCACCATTAAAACTTCAGGATTCCTCCTCCCCCAAATCCTAAAGCCGTCCTGCAAGCAGCAGAACTAATGAAGTCCAGTTTCCAGCAGCTCTCTCTGCACGGCCTGTCTGTCAGCTAGTTACAGGGCAGTGTATGGACTCCTTCCTCGGAGGGGGGTCTTTGCAGGCCCCTCTCATTAAGCCGGTCACCTAGAGTCACAAAACCAGCTGGATCCCATTATCTCGGAGGCCTCCACCGCTTTATCAGCTGCGGCGGAAACAGGCTGATAGATTCAAGACTCGCTGGAGGCGAGAGACAGACAGGCAGGCATAGACAGCCTGCTGACAGAGCTTTGCTTCCTTAGGGAACCAGGCTGTAATTCCTTTGCAGAGCCCCATGAAATACCCCTCTGGCTCAGCCTCTTGTCTCAGCAGACTCAGCACCACTGCTGCTGGCTGCCTTGGGGGCAGGTCCTCACCCAGCACCCCTTCAGTCTCCCCTACGCTGACCCTCGTGCTCCCTGCCCAATGTTTTCCTTGCATTGGAGGACAGACCCCATCTCTGTTCTGCTTTAATCCATCCCTTGGAGTTTCCACTGCTGAGGTATTTCAGCTAGCTGCAATCGAGGGCTGCGAACAGCCATCCGAACACAGTGCTGGGAGCTGCTGTACTCCCTGTGGGACACCTGCCATGGAGAAGCACGTGCCCCAATCCAGTCCACAGTCACCATACCCCTTCCCAAATCTCTCCCGGTATCTCTCCCTATTCTCAGCTGACATCCAGGACTGGCTCAGTAAATAGATCACACAACAAAATGCAACCCCTTAAAGGCTTTTGAATGCTTAATGGATTAATATTTAATGGCAGCTGACTTTTGCTAATGGGAAACAAGCCAGAACATACATCTCTGCCCATGCTGGGAATTGGGGTGTGTTCTCAGAAAACTTGGATTCAGAGAGAAGAGAAGAAGGGACCTGCAACTCCCAGAGCTCAGAGGAGATTCCCTCTCTGCAAAAGCTGTACCTCACCCATTTGTGTGTGACCCTTCTTGCCTCGCTGGGTGCCCAGTCTGTGACCCACGAACCAGCTGCGTCCATGGTATCAGAGCATTGAGCAGGAGAGCAGTGAGGCTCTGACTGACCTCAGTGATGAGAGGGGCCCATCAGGTCAGTGACCTCTGCGCGAGGCCGTGGAAAAACAACATTTCCGATAGCAGCCTGCTTGTGGGTATTTGTCCGTGGCTCTGTCAGGAGGTGAAGATGTCTGATGCTACTACTGCTACAAACAAGACTGCCTGAGCAGTGCTGCCTTGCAGATTGGTGGGGTGGATACAGAGAGCTCTATCTCCCCGCTGACCCAGGGGGTACAAGGCCTGGCCCCCTGACAGGGACTGCAGCCCTAACACATCACCTATGGCTTTCTCATGTCCCACAGCAAGCAGGCAGGAGCTGGTGTCTGCAAGGAAAGGGAAACAAGAATTGGGAGGAAGGAGGCTTTTCTCCCCACAACCTAATCAAGAGGAGAAAGGCATCTACCAAACAGCTGATTTCTCTTACAGCGTGATGCTGCTGACATTTACGGAGCCAGGCACACCTCTCTCGGGGACTCCACTGCGCGAGGACTCTGTTTTCCCTTTTAAACTGGAAGGAATGTCTGTGCTTTGGCCCCCACAACTTCATATTTTCCACCACAAGGCAATGACCGGTGAGGCCCCATAAGGGGAACAATGACATGAGAGTCTGGGGAAGAGGAAATCTCTACCACAAACAAGTCTGGAAAATGGCTGCTAGAAGGAAGGGAAGCTTGCGTCTGGCAGCACTCTCCCTACTGCAGCCTTGCTCTGCCGCTCACCCTAAAACCCCCCTCGTACTCACAGCCTCAAAAATGTAATGGTCCGAAACTGGACTGTCTCTTAGCCCTCTTCCCTCCACCCATCCCTGCAGTGCTTCTGGAAGAAAGGGCTGGATTCCCTCCTGCCGCATCATGTGTTGAAACCGCCAGCTCCTCTGCAGCCACCAGGAACTTTCTTGCTCGCGCTGGCTCCCGGCACGGCGCGGCGGCAGGAGATCAGAGACTGATTTGCGCATGCCGAGCCAGCTGGAGAGGCTTCAGCTGTGAGCAGGGCAGAGTCAGTCCCACGGGAGGAGAGGAGGTGCTGCTGCTGCACCCACGGTTCTCGGGGGGAGGAATCCAGTTAATCACTTCGTATTTGGATAAGAAAATAACTCTCCTGCACAGGGAAGGGTTTCAGTGCACATGAAAGATCCTAAATGAAGTCAGTCCCACAGGACCTGCGGGGTGAGATTGGTATCATCCTCCTCAT